ATTGCTGGCTTCCTGAAACTTCTGCAGCACAGACAAGCTGGGCCAGAAGTAGGCTGGCAGGTTCTCACGGTCTATCGGCCCTTCCAGGAAACCACTCGCTTCAGCAAAGATCAACCTGGGATCGCCATCGGCTGCTTTTTCTTGCTTCCTTATTGTTCTACTGAAGGAGCTAATCGGACCGGGACTCCCCGCAGCCAGTGAGTCCGGTCCTGCTCGCCGATAAGCCTGCGGAGGAAACGCCACTTCCTCGCATTCTCCAGGGAACCCGGGCGCCGGACAATGAGGGCGCCCCCAGCTCCGCGTGCAGCCCAGCCCGACAGCCCTGGGCAGGCAGCGGTGCCAGCGCACGGGCGAGTGCTGAGTGCACGCCCCTCCCCCAATCCCAGTTTGACAGCAGATAATTGCATTTCGATCGGCAACTTCCCAGGCGGCTCCTCCAGATGTAATTTTCTCTGAGCAGAGAAGCCTGTCTGAGCGGCGGCCCAGCGCGTGCTTTCAGAGTAAAAAGATGAAAAAAAGCCAGACCTTGCAAACACTCATCCAAAGGAAGCGGATGTAGATATGATAACATGAAATAAAGCAGCTTTTAGAACAAAAATGACAGCGGAATGGTTGTCAAACGGTAGCGTTTAAGACGTCTATATCACAAAGGCAGAACCTAAAAGGTAAAGTTTTCACATTCCACTTGAAGGGATAAAATATTGGTACTAGTAGACGGTGATAAATTATGTAGAGCAGCAGTTTTCAACCAGGGGTGCTTTTGGTACAAAATATCGTACCGGAGCTAAAGAGGGACATCACATAATGATAAAAGGGCCCGTTCATCAAGAAGAGACAACACCTAACAGTGTGTATCACAAACTACCGAGTTCAAAAATTCATGAAGAAAAACCACATGGACTAAAAGGGGACACATTTATCGTCGGAAACCAGCGTCCCTTCAGCAACTGATAAAACCAGCAGACCAAAAAAAAAGAGAGAAATATTTTGTTTTGTGAATCATTTTGGCAAAACAAAACTTTGAAATGTTAATGGCACTAGCAAAGTTATGGTGAGACACATTGAGACCGATGGGCTATAAAAATGGGATATAAATGAATACGAAAGTCCTGAAAAATATTTAATTTCTATGTTAAGAAGCTTAGAATGTTTATGCCATGTTTCAACCCAATATTTTCACTTATAGGAAGCTCTCCTGAGGGCATCAGGTGGGCCAAAACGTATCTGTCTAGACCCGTGGTCGGCAAACCGCGGCTCGCGAGCCACATGTGGCTCTTTGGCCCCTTCAGTGTGGCTCTTCCACAAAATACCGACTTCTGCGCATGGGCCACGAAGTTTCAATCGCACTGTACCTGCGCGCCCACACATGGTATTTTGTGGAAGAGCCACACTGAAGGGGCCAAAGAGCCGCATGTGGCTTGCGAGCCGCGGTTTGCCGAGCCGCAGTTTGCCGACCACTGGTCTAGACCGTCATAGCAGAGCTACTTATAACAGCAAAATTAGAGCATCCAGACCTGCCCACTAATTGTCAAGTATTTAAAAGCATACACTGTATCTCCATGTCGTGCTATCATTGGGATAACGCCTCTTCAAAGAATGTTTAATGCCTTGGTAAATGTGACTGACTCTAAGGCTAAGAAGTAGTAGCTAAAGCAATGTACACACAAAATAGCCAAAACCATGTTAAAAATGCACGCGTAATGGCAGACAGACACAAAGTTACTAGACTACAGCAAGGAGAGCCCCAGAAGTTGCCAGGGATGATCTCTTTGTGCTTTTCATCGGCTAGTTTCTGCACCCCCCGCCCACCCGGGTTTCCTATGGCGGACGATGTCACGTTCCCGGTCAGAGCAAACAGAAACCGTTCCTTCCAAAACCAGCGCGGGAATGAGGTGATGCACGCCAAGCGTCGCCTACGGTGCTGCGTCTGGTGGGGGGAAGCTCAGTCGGTGGTGAGATTTTTGTAAACAATTTTGAAAATGAACAATAGTGACACAGTATGCCCACAATTGTTCTCCAAGCGCCCGCCTCTGTCTCATGTCCAGGCCTCGTGATGAACGGGCCCTGCCCTTCTCAGAGCGTCACGGTTACGACCAGCACTGCATGGGCACCTCCCTCCCCTGGCGATAAACGTCTCCTAACATCACTAGAGAGTGTCGCTCCACTGCTGTCCCCGGGGCTGGGCTCAGGGCTGACGGGGGGGAGCCTGCTTCCTGCCCAGGGCCACGGGGACATTTATCCCATCCACGGGCCACACAACATGATCAACGAAAAAACCACCTGCTGTATTTGGTCAAACGTTTCATTAACTCACCCCGCAGGCCTTGGCAGGGCCAGACCACATGATTTCGTGGGGCTTACACGGCCCGCGGGCCGGACGTTCCCCACCCCTGCTGCGTGACCATCACACTTAACCACTCAAGGAGCTCGGAGAGGCACGAAAAGCAAAGCAACTTGTCCAAGTTCAGACGCGACCAAGCCTCAGAGCCCGGGCACCCGTCAAGGTAGCAGCGGAGGGCGTACCTGGGCCTGCCTTAGCGCAGGGGTGGCCGGCAGGGGTCTGGCGGGGACGCTGGGCGTGCGGGGCGCCTGGTGGAGGGTCGGGAGCACTCGCTGCGGGGACGGGGGTCGGGGGCGGTCCAGGGCCTGCAGGGGCCTGCTGATGGCAACGTTCTGACACTGCGGCGGCCTCTTGGGGTTGTCCTGCGGGGTCAGAGCAGCAGCCATGATACACGGGTCAAGGGGTCTCAAGAGGGTGGGTGGGGTTCCCCCCCCCTGCCGGGGGGCCTTCGGGCCCCCCCCCCCAGGGTTTCGGGGTTTTTTCCCCGGAAAAAGGCCCAACCTGGTTGCAAGGTCGTCCCCGCCCCCCAATCAGGGGGGGGAATGGGAGGCAACCAAACAATGGGTTTTTTTCCAATTGATTTTTCTTTCTCCACCTCTTCTTCCTCCCTCCCTCCCTCCCTCTTTCCCTCCCTCCCTGCCTGCCTCCCTCCCTCCCTTCCCTTCCCTTTTCTTAAAAAAAACCATGGAAAAATTCCCTTTGGATAAGGGTAAAAAAAAAAGTTTGCGATTCTTTAAGGAAAAAGCAGGGCCTGGGGGTCTCCCATTGCCCCGGGGGAGGTGGGGGGGGTAAGGGACAGAAACCAAGGAGGTCCTGAGAGGGGTTTTGGGATTATTGTTTTTTCCCCCCCCCCCCCCCCCCGCTAGTCTGGAAAGAGGGTCCCCTTCGGGTGGATTTTAAAAGGCTGGTTTGATTAACAAACAGCTTCGAGACACCGGACGAAGTGCCAGCATGAAGGCCTGGGTCAGACCCGAGGGCACAGAAGGAGCCGTGAAAATAAGTCACAGCTCAGTGCCTGAGGCGGCGAGAACCCAGGACATGTGCTGGGCAGTGGCGTGGAGGTGTCCGGAGGCCGGGGCTGAGGTCAGGGCCTCCCCCTCCCTCGCTGGAGGGCGGGGCTCTGAGTGGTGCCCGGTCTCAGCGACGGATGAAGACAGACGGACAGACGCAGCTCGAGTCTGTGCCTCGGCCCCTGCCCGCTCTCCCTCCCTCTTCTCTTCCTTTCTTTCTACAAACAGCTTTCCCGAGGTACACCTGACACGTGATTAATTGCATATATTTAAAACGTGCAATTTGGTAAAAATTGACATATGTCCACACTCATGCAACCATCACAGAAGCGAGATAATGAACACATCCATCACCCAAGAGACTCCCCCCCACCTCCCCCCACCTCCCGCCTGTAACCGGGACCTGCTTTCTGTCACTGTGAGTCCGCGTTTTCTAGACTTTCCTACAAATGGCACCACGAGCCACACTCTGTCTGGCCTGGCTTCTTTCCCTCGGCCTCACTATCTCGAGGGCCATCACCCTGTGTGTGTCAGTGGTTCCTCCTCCTCACCGCCGAGCCCAAGTCCCCGTGTGCACACACCATAGCTGCTCCCGTCCCCTGGCCCCCAGGGCCTTGCAGAGCTTCCGTGGGCACAGCAAGCCCCTCCAGCCCCTGCCACCTCCTCAGGGACCTTTGCTGAACTGAGTGCTGGCTCAGCATTGCACCGGGGACCCAGGGCCTCAGAGCCCCATCCTCACCTGGACTGGGGACCCAGGGCCTCAGAGCCCCACCCTCACCTGCACCGGGGACCCAGGGCCTCAGAGCCCCATCCTCACCTGCACCGGGGACCCAGGGCCTCAGAGCCTCACCCTCACCTGGACTGGGACCCAGGGCCTCAGAGCAGCGCCCTCCCTGTGCACCACTCACCGTGGCTGAGCTGGACGGCGCTGGCCTCCTCATCACACCTTGGCTGAGGGGCGCGAGGGGAGCCTGGCTGGGCTGGCAGCCGCCGGGGGGCCGGGCGGGGCGCACGCACCTGCAACACAGCGCACACCTGCTCACCAGGTGCCCTCCCTGCGGCCGCCTCAGCTTTCCGGCTTTGTTCACCTCGGCACTCACACAAGTTATTGATGTTTTAAAGTCCTCGCGGGTGAGCATGCAAAGGTAAAATTATCCAGCACTCTTGCAAGATTCAACAAGAAATACTGATTTCTCTCCCCAGAGCCCCTGCCGATCCTGTTAAATTAGTTCTCCAAGCCAGACTCGCGGCTCAGTGCCCTGGGGGACGCTCGGGACAAAGGGCGTTTCCGCGGCGCGGCCTGAACACGTGTGACTCGAACCCCTGATGAGAACATTGTGACACCCCGCGCCTCACAGAGACTAACGCCAGGTGGGGGACCCCTGGGCGAGACTCCGGCCGCCTGCCTGTCTGTCATAGCGTGAGGGTGTGAGGGCGCGAGGAGGAGGCAGTGGGCCTGGCGGACACGTGAGAAAACCCCACCGTCTGCTCCCCGGAGGGGCCCACCTCCTTTCTGCTAGAGGACGCGGCCGGCGAGGGCAGCGGCCTGCACGCCCTTGACCCCCCGCCCCCCAATACCTTAGCTTCTCAAGGGTCTTCTTGTCTGTAAACAGCAGGCGGACCAGCGTCTTCCTTTTGAGATAAACCGCAAGCCCGGCCGCGAGGAGACACAGGATGCTGGCCAGGACGCCGGCCGTGAGGCCTCGGTGACCTGGAACAACACCGTTCACTCAGGGGGCGGGAGGCGGCCGCCGGGAACCAGGGACACACCGAACCGTGACCACGACAGCCAGGCGGCCGCAAGGGAAGGGACGGGAGGAGACGGCAGCCCGAGGGATGCTCAGAGGCCGCGCGAGGTTCGGGCTGCCTGGCGTCACTGCTGACCGCAGCGCTGGCCCCGGGCCCGAGGCAGGAGGGCAGCAGGGAAGCGGGGGCTGCAGGGGGTCCCGGACTGAGTCCTCTCCAGCCCCTCACACACGGGCCACCCGCTCCTGCCTCCTCTCACCCGTCCGGGTGGAGTCTGTTTCGCTTTATTTTCATGTTTCTTCAGAATAAGACTCCTTATGCCTGGATAGTGTCCCATGAGAAGATGAGAAGAAACAAAAAGGGAAGCGAGACCTCACAGCTGAAGGAGAGGCCCACGGGTGTGCTTTGTTACATCAGGGATGGAGGGCCCAGCTCTGGCAAACCCTTGTTCTGGGAGGATGCGGCTTTCGGTCTCCATGGAAACGCCCCTCTCCGGTGATCTGACCCGTGTTGTTTAGTGCCGGGTGACCCCCGGTGCCGGGGTCGGAGCAGCTTTAGCTGCACTTCAGCTGCACTGAGCTCCCTGGGAGCAGTGAGGTGGGCTTCACACAGTAGGTTTGAGGTGGGCTGCACAGAGTAGGTGTGAGATGGGCAGCACACAATAGGTATGAGGTGGGCTTCACACAGTAGGTGTGGGGTGGGCTTCACACAGTAGGTGTGAGGGTGGGCTTCACAGAGTAGGTGTGAGGGGGGCTGCACACAGTAGGTGTGAGATGGGCAGCACACAGTAGGTGTAAGGGGGGCTGCACAGAGTAGGTGTGAGGTGGGCTGCACACAGTAGGTGTGAGGGGGCTGCACACAGTAGGTGTGAGGTGGGCAGCACACAGTAGGTGTGAGGGGGGCTGCACACAGTAGGTGTGAGGGGGGCTGCACAGAGTAGGTGTGAGGTGGGCTGCACAGAGTAGGTGTGAGGTGGGCTGCACACAGTAGGTGTGAGGTGGGCTGCACACAGTAGGTGTGAGGTGGGCAGCACACAGTAGGTGTAAGGTGGGCTGCACACAGTAGGTGTGAGGGGGGCTGCACACAGTAGGTGCACGGCCGCCCTTTCTGGCTGCTGCTGGTGGAGGTGACTTGTTACCCAGGCTGCCGCCCTGCCTCCGGCCGGGAGCTCACTGGCTGCAGCCCAGAGCAGGGCTCCTACCACGGGGGGATCCCCTCACTCTCTCGCCCCCTCGCTGCCTCTGGACTTCGTCTCGGCCGACACGTCCTATCAGACCTGTCTGGGGCTGAGGAAGCGATCAGCGGCGGCGTCCGACTCATTTGTTAGTGTCACTGGAACCTTTGCTTCTGGTCTCCCAGCCAAACCATCCTCCTCTGCAGGCGCGAGCGGCCACCGCCGGGCTCTGGGCCAGTTCCGCTGTCTCCTCGTGAAGCCGATTTCAAAGGGAGCAGCTGGAGCCTGAAGCATCGTTTTCATCCCCCAAACCCTCCCTGAGCCTTAGACGACCCCTCTTCGCCAGCTGACAGTTACGGGGCCCCGCGCTGCACAGGGCGCACCCCGGGGCTGCCTGTCCCCGGGCACCGGCTGCTCAAGCCACATGCAGGGGACAGCTCGACTGTCCCCAATTCTGTTCTTTGTTATGGGGTGGGGCCACAACATTAGTAACAAAGAAACAAAATTTCCGGAGGATGAGGCCCAGAAATCAGGATTTTAGAAAGATTCCCAGGTGATTCTAATGTGCAGCCAAGGTTGAGAGCCGCTGTAGTAGAGTCTCAGAGGCCGTTAAACGCCCCCCTCTCGGCCCGCAGCCCGGGGCCGGCCTGCACAGAGTCCTTCGATGGGGCCCGAAGTGCAGACCCACCTGGCCGTCCGCTGTAGCGTGACCTCAGCTAAGAAAAGCGTCGCAGGCTACAAACTGGCAAACTCAGCCCCCGGCCAGAGCAGCGCGAGGGGTCCCGGAGAGACCGGGTGAGGGAATTTGGGAACAGAGAGAGGCCTCGGGCTGTGTCAGGCCCAGGTGGAGTCCCTACTGGGGTTCCTGCTCCCGGGGGTCTGCACCTGCACCCACACCGACGACTGGTGAGCCCGTCTTCCTGGGAAACACCCCCCCACCCCCCGCTCCCCTTGCCCCTCTCCCCTGGGTGCGCCGTCCCCACCCACCTGCTTGCCGGATGGGGCCGCTGTCTGTGCTTCCTCCGAAGCCGACCTTGTCGCAGAAAGGGGGCGCCCAGTGGGCCTCGCAGTGGCAGTTCTTCCTGTTGTTGCACACCTGTCGGGGCAGCCGGGGGGGAAGGGGGAGGAGCAGAGTTAGGGTGCACTGTCCCCTGGGGCAGAGTTTGGTCTCTGAGCCCTCACTGGGCGCCGTGGCCAAGCAAAGGCCCTGAGGTCAGAGCCCCCTCAGCCCCCACAGAGCCAGACTCAGTGAATGTCAGCGTGAGGACAAGCCCACGGCCCAGCACCACACGGGTGGCGGGGCCCGAGGCTGCACGTGGCCACACCCCGCCTGTCAGCAGCCGTCGGAGGACCCTGGGGGCAGTCAGGGCTCCCCCTCTGCCTCCCACGGCTCCTCAGGCTCCCAGGCCTCTGCTTTTTCTATTAAAACATGTTTTTATGGGTTTCAGAGAGAGGAAGGGAGAGGGGGAGAGAGTAACATCGGTCGGCTGCCTTCTGCACGTCCCCTGTTGGGGATGGAGCCCGCGACCCGGGCACTTCCCACCGACAGCTGCACCCCCAGGGGGGTGGCCCTGACCGCCTCTGTGGTCACAGCACAACCCCATCACTCTTGTTAGAACCACTGGCGAGTGTCTGCAGGTTTTAAAAATAGGATTTGGCGCATGATTTCTGCAGAGAAGGTTCCAGAAAGACAAACGAGCCCTGCACGTCGAGACGAACATGGTTCCACTGGAAATGATGACTCCCTCAGGAAAATAAACCACGTTTTAAACAATGAGCGCCCCCTTCTCCCCCAAAACTCTCTGGACGAAGACAACAGGCTGTTCCGCCGAAACCCACCGCGTGGGACCCTTTGTCTGTCCCCTTTGTCTGAATCCCTTTCGGAGGAGGCTCAGCTCAGACACACATGCCGAGTCGCGGTGGTTAAAGGAACGGCTCTGTTTGACATGTTGTTGGAAAACTCTTCAGGAAGGATGGTTAGGGTTACGACCACTTTACGATGACAAAGTCCTTTTCGTAAAAAAAAAAATAAAATCACAGAATGTTCATTTGAAAGTGAATGGCGGCTCCATCGGATTTTTTTTGTTAAATAAGAATCCCGCTTGTACAAAAAGGTCAAAGAAAATGAATGTCATTAGAAGAACGCATTGAGAAGACACTGCTATGTTTTTAAGAAGTTATGGATTGCAGCCCGGCCGGTGTGGGTCAGTGGTTAGGCACTGACCTACGAACCAGGAGGTCACGGTTCGATTCCCGGTCAGGGCACAGGCCCGGGTTGTGGGCTCGGTCCCCAGTGTGGGGCGAGCAGTAGGCAGCTGACCGATGAGTCTCTCTCATCACTGATGTTTCTCTCTCCCTTTCTCCCTTCTTCTCTGAAACCAATAAAAATATATTTTATAAAAAGTTACCGATTGCAAACACCTTTACAAATGAACGAGTTGGTGCTCAGCGTGGATGGCGGGCTGGGAAGGGGCACCGTGTACTCACCCCTCTGCCGTGGCACTGCCTCGCACACTCGTGCACACCAAACACGCTGATGTTTTGGCACCGACGATTGAGGCAAATCTGAGGAGGAAACAGAGCAGGTGTCTCAGTCCTCCTGCCAGCACACGCTTCCTGTCTGTGGGTTACAACTGGAAAGCAAGGGGACGTTTGGGGAAGATGGTCTCGCCGTGAATATGGGTGCGTGTTTCCTGTGACACAGACTCAGGCCCACGGGACACTGCTGCGTCCCTTCACACGTGATGGCATTTTACGTGCTTTCGGTCAATCCGGGAAGGACGCTGACTCCCTCGTGGTTTGTTCAGTGCTTGCCATCACACCTACGTATCGCGCGTTTATTTCTTCTCCATGAAAAGACACGAGAGAGGGAGAAACGGACGAGTTCCTGCCCCTGGGGCCTGTGTGGACGCTGAGACACGAATACAGGGTCCGGGATCTTCTAAGGGAGATAGCGGAATATGGGCGCTTTCCCAACGTACTGACCGACAGCGCTATCGCCGACGACAGAAACCACGCCAGACATGCCCAGCGGGGGAGCCAGGCGGCCGGTCCCTCCTGCTTGCCGGGCCTCCGCAGGGCAGCCTTCGCTGAGTGACACGGGGCTGGTTCAAAGAGTTTCGAGTTTTCGTTTCATTTCAAAGATGCAGAACATACTCCAGACTCAAGGGATCAGAGGCCCCGAGCTCCCATGAGCTGCTACAATTTAGCGGAGTCAAAGGGAGGACTGTCTAACTCGGACTCCGGGGCACTTTTAACCACGTGGAACCTTCCTACGGGAAGCCCACCGTCTGATCGTCTGATCCCAGCTGCTCGTAAGGCCTGATTCGCGCAGCTCGCAGGCTGGCGGTAACCTTGGCCCAGGGACTGTCCCATTGCGGCTGATAAAGGAAACTGAGTTGCAATGAACACACCAGGCCCCCGGCAGAATCTCCACGCTGCTCTGCCCTCCTCCGAACCCACGGGCCAGGCTGCGCAGGGCAGCGCCCGCGCTGGCAGAAACGGAGGCCACGCCCGTTTACCGTGGCGCGTGGAGGAAACGCTCATCGGTAAACCCAGTCCCCGCAGTCAGCGCTCAGGTGTCATCCTAGCGTCGTGGCCTGGGTGTGCGTGAGCTAACCACGGTGAAGGCGACGTCGGTGTGTATGCCAGGGGTCCCGTGTCGTGCTGGCCGCGGGGGACGCTCTGGTTCAGGGGGCGGGAGGGAGGGGTGATGGGGGGAGTTTCTGCCCACGGAGTCCTGTCTATTCCGTGACCTCCGTGGGAGTGGTTTCACAATCACTTTGAAAATGGGTCCTAAAAAAGCACGAGGGGTCGACTCATCCTCGTTCCTAGAACATTTCATTCACTTGCTCTCATTTATGTGAGAAGGTCTGTCTCAGGAGAAAAATCAATGTGGCAGAAGGGGAATGTCCCAATTTCTTTCATTATTTTTTTAATTTAAATTTTGGACTTTATTTCTCAGTCCTGAAATATCTCGGTCTACCTTTCTCCCTGGTCTCCAAAGAACCCTCTTTCTGCCTCAATGTCTCCTAAATCACCCCTCCCCTCCCCTCCCCTCCCCTCCCCTCCCCTCCCCTCCCCTCCCCTCCCTTCCCCTCCTCCTCCCCTCCCCTCCCTTCCCCCACGGGTCTCTGAAAAGACATCTGCCTTCCCCTTCCGTGTCCAGGTGAGAACAAGCCCCCCGAGGTCTCCCTGCCAGAAACCAAGGCCACTTCCAAAAACAACGCCATCTGCTGCTGCGTTTCCTTCCGGAGCAATGTCCGGGCCGGAGCCCTCGCGGCTCCCAGGTGTAGAGTGACTTGGTGACAGCGAAGGGCCAGAACACAAGCTAAGCTGCCTCTCGGTGGCCGGCCGGGACCTAGGATTTACTGACCTCTTCCAGGTGCAAAGGCCTGGGTTCCGCAGACCAAGGCCCGAGAGGGCGGGGCTTTGGGAGACACACACCCTGTGCCCGGCCCTTGGATATGACATGTCTCAGGGCCCCGTCCAGACTCACGGGGACGACGCCGGCATCGCACTCTGGGCTCTTACTTTTCCGTCCGCGCACTTGGTGCCGGCCAGCACCAGCCCCGGGTCCGGCATGTCGTCGCCCAGGTACACGTGGGTCCCGCGGCACAGGACCCGGCCCCCTTCCTGCAGTGGGATGTTCGTTTCTATGGAGACGGCGTTGGTGCCGATGACCGGCCGGCTGGCACCCCCTTGGCACTGGATCTTCCCGCACTTGGCGTCCCTGGAAGGAAGGGCAGAGCAGACAGGCCCCGAGGGGGTTGGCAGGGGCCGAGGCCATGCCCTTGGTCCTGGTGCTGGGGGCGGAGTCCGCACCTCGTCTCGCACTTGGCGAAGGAGCTCTTGGCGTCTTTGCCGCAGTTGCCGTAGGGGTCGCCTGCGGAGTTGACTCTCTCAAAGCAGATCCCAGGGGCGGGCTTCGCGCCTGCAAGGGAAGCAGAGCAGCCGTCATGCCGCACGTGGCTCCGCATCTCCCCCGGAACCGCTCTGGGCATTCGGGTTCGGGGAGAAGTGCTCTGTCCCGAGGACTCGCCCCGCGGTCCCGGCCGACCCCTGACGGCAGCTGGCACCTCGCCTGCTCCTGGCCAGGCACACGTTTCCCAGCTCAGGGAACGAGGCCTGGCCGTGGGGCCAGACCCAGGGCGCACAGGAAGGAGGTGGCTGCCGGCAAGAAGAGGGGGGGCTGGTGCTCCCTGGCATCACCCCATAGCTCCCTGAGACCACGTGAGCTCCAGCAGCTTCCACGGAGTGGCGACGGCTTGTGTGGGGAAGCCGGCATCTCACAGGCGCTTCAGCCCCGTACAGCACCCCCACCCCCAGTTCGCAGGGCAGGATTTACTGACTTCCTCTTCCAGGTGCAAAGGATTTACTGAAGGATAAATCCTTCATGCCTCTCAGAGGCTGTGCAGAGACTGACGGTGCCCAGCAGAGAGGCACCCTGCAGGAGCCCAGGGCTCGGGAATGGCCTCTTTCAGCACACTGTCCGGCAGGGACCCGGAGGCATATGCTGGGTTTGCGATGCCCCAGCTG